TATATATATATATATATATATATATATATATATATATTGATATAAAATTTGTGTCTGTGTGTGTCTTTGTGTGTGCGCCTACGTGTATTTAAATTCCTAGCAAGCGAGAAATTTTGATTTTTTTGAAAGTCTTCTAATCCATTACTCCACAAAATTTATCATTTTCCAAAATATCTAACTATTTTTTCATACTTTCAATTAGAAAATGGATAAGCAGAACCAAGTTAATGGTGATGAGGATGCAACATTAATGGACGTTTCGATATCTTTTATTGCACTGGAAAAAGCAAGAATCGAATTTTCGCAGGTTCTCTTTGAAAAAGTTTCTCTAATGATAAGTTGCTTGTTTTTGTTTCTTTTAATCCATATACAACAATATTTTGAAGAATTCCTAAACAAAAATTTAATGTTAATTTCTTTTTGAAAGAAGAAAATGTTCTTCGATAAAGTTAAAACATATGATCTGTATGACAAATATATTTAAATATGTAATGCCTATAATAATAATATAAACGATAAGAAACCTAGTGTAATTTTATGAAATGAGGTATGAGAAGAATAAAGTGTACACAATCCTTATTAGCACCTTTGAGGTAGAGTACTTATTTTTTATAAACCCTTAGCTCCAAAAAGAAATTCTCCAAAGAAGTGTGTTTGTGTGTATATATATATATATAACTTGTGTTTGTGTGTTCGTGTGGATGTGTATGCGCACGCGTTTGTGTATGTAATTCCTACCAAGCGATCAATTTTTTTTGAACTTCCTCTCAATTACTCCACACAGTTATTCATTTTAAAAAATATCTAATTATTTTTTTTCATACTTTTGAATAGAATATGGATAAGCAGTACCAAGTTGATGGTGATGAGGATGCAACATTAATTGACGTTCCGATATCTTTTATTGCACTCAAAAAAGCTAACACAGATATTTTTCAGGTTCGCTTTGCAAAAGTTCACCCAATTATAAGTTGTTTGTTTTTTCCTTTTAATACATGTATGATAATATTCTGATTAATACATACACAAAATTTTAATCTTATTTTTTTTTATAACAAGAAAAATGTTCTTCTCAAAAGTTTAAAGATGTGATCTGTAGCACAACTCTATTGAAATACTTCATGTGAATAGTAATAGTAATACTACTAATAACAATAATAAACAACAAACCTAGTGTAATCCGACGAAATGGGATATGCAAAGAATAAAATGCACATAAACCTTATCATTACCTTTGAGGTAGAGTTGTTGTTTCTGATAAACCCTTAGAACAACCAAAAATTAGTCCAAAGAAGTGTGTGTGTGTTGGGTATATACATATAAAATACTTATAAAGATCGTCTAGTAAGAGAATTCTACTGTTTCATTCAAAGTTTACTGTACAAATAGGTTAGAAACAATTATAACTAGGTGTGAGCTATCCTTTTAGATAGAAGTAGAAGAAACACACTTCATCGTATTGTGTTGATCTTTTAGAATATTGAATACTGATGCTCCAATATCTTGTGTACCACTTATCACAAAATGTTGATACTCCCCACTTTGTATAGATAATTATCTTTTGAGAATGATATTGGAAATTTTTTAATTCTATACATGTTCTTTTGGTGGCAGAATGAGATTGTACCAAAAAATATGCACTACATGCATACTCATACATTTGAACAAAGAAGGCAAAATTGGATCATCAATAATATTTCTCGTCCAAGTGGCTTAATAATAGATTATGTAAGTTTCCTTTTGAATAATCAACATGTTTCCCTACAAACAAAAATGATTAACTATATTTTGTTTGATGAGTTTGTGATAAGAATTTAATAATTATTGATAAATAGGTCTACCTTCATTTGGAGACAAAAAAAAAGTTTCGATCTTTGATAGAAGTGTATAAATTTATTGTATATGGGGAAGTTCCTGAAATAGCAAAGAAATCAAGAGAAAATGAAGAAACATTTCAGGTTAGCTCAAAACTATTATATTAGAATACATAATGAGATTGACTCTTTTCTACACTATAATTAATAATTTAATTTGCAGGCGACACCAAGGCGTAAACAACTTGTGCGCGGTAAAAAATTGATAAAAAATTATGTAGTTGGAACATGTACTAAATCTTATGATGGGGTATACATTAAGAATCGAGGAGAAGCTAAGTACTTATCTCAACGTGACATCCCTTCAAACATTGGTAAGCTAGTTACTATATACATATATTTGTATTGTTGTTGTTGTTTTCACGCTCATTATCTTTGCATTTGTTGATTTTTATTATTTTGTAATCTTTTTATGGACAGAAAAAAAGAGAAAAAGAGGAAATGAAGATTTATATGGGCATCAACAAGTGAACTTAGGAGATGATGCAATACTTGTCAACTCAGGAGATGCTACATTAAGTCCTCCAATACAATCTTTTCTTTACCTTTGGGATTTTGAGCTCGTTCCTGAGGCACACAATGAAAATCTTTCTTAGAAAAATTATTATTATATTAGTTATTAAACTAAATATTTTTGAAAGTTATTTTTCTTTGGTTATTTAAGAAAACTGTTTAATTCAGACAATGTAACGTAAATTATATTTAAAGTTCGATTTTACCATTTTTAAGACTATGAATTTGATTTCAAAAAGCTTATTATACTATTTTTGTCCTAATAGTATTGCTCATATTAGCACAATAAAAGATAATAAAATTTGCTTAAATATTGATTCAACTTCTTCCTCCTCTTCTTCCTCTTATTCTTTAATAACAAATTATCAGCGTACAATAATTTTTGATATTTTACTAATATGATAGAGGGCTTCAGAAAAAAACATTTTATTTTTTCCTAGGAGAGATAAAGGCATCATAAATAATATTATATTTTCTCCAATGTTTCGGAGAAACTTATTATTTTTTAACGATATTCATAAAATTTATTATCATATCAAGAAAATGGAAGAAATAAATCGTGATATTTTTGTATTACCAAGAATTTCTATGAGAAAACATTTGTTATATATAAGTTCCCTTCTTTAGCCTTTAGCTTGTAATGTACAAATATTAGTACAATTGATGCACATTTTATATTAAATTAAATATTTACTAATCCCAATACTTTTATAGCTTTGAATTATTGTGTGTGACAACATTAATTTATAATATTCAGATAGATTATAAGAAAATCAATTGAACACTCATAACGGAAAGAGTTGTAATTGAGAATTTTACCAATAAAAGTTGTAATTGAGCCCCCCTACATTTTTATAATGTATACATTCTGTTATTTGTGGACTTATTCATCCACATTGTGGATCGTTTAAGCACTTTATGATCTTAATAGGTGCTTCTTCTAGATGGTCACAGTTATGGCTATTGTCATATCACAATTCGTCTCTTGAAAAATTATTGGGATAAATATGAAGATTATAAGTATAGTGTGGTAATAAGATATACTTTTTTTTGCCTTGATAACACTGGAAGCTTTCATCCCATGTTTTAAAAGATTATTCCCTATTAAATAGATAAAAATTGAATATGTTGTAGCTCATGTACTTACGTAAAATGGTCTTTTTGAGTTATTAATTAAACATCAATGGTTGATACCAATAACATTATTTACGAAAACTAGATTGTCCATTTTAATGTAGGGCAACACAATTTTGCATGATAAAATACTTGTGTGTCTTAGACTTATTGGATGAATAATTAGAATGGAAGGGGGTGGGGTATTCTATGACTAGAGGTCATTCTATTTCTTATATGTGTCACGACCCGTTCCTGTCGTTATGGAAAAGTCAATGGGGGAAGAAACATGTGCTTGAAAACTTTTGAGTATTATCTTAGACATTTCTAGCCTAGGATAGACTTTGACGAAATGTGATTCTGGTGAGGTTTAGGGCAATATGGTAATGGAAGAGAGATTTAATTGTGAGTTTAATCACGTGAGTGCATATCTAAGGTGTTAAGGAGACTTTCTGGCTTTACATAATAAAATTTGGGTGAGTAAAATTTCCGAAATTTATCTTGGCGTGAAAGGATAGTTTTAGAAATTAGTTTGAAGGTGTGTTGCGAAATGATATCTTGGAACTTAAATTGTGAGGTTCTGTCTTATTCCAAGAATCTGAGGAGGGATTAATATCACCAGGTTTGGGCCGGTGTGGTGGTATAGGGCCCACTTTGGTGGGCTAGTCGCGAATTAATCAATAAAACATCCAAAATCGTTATTTTATGAAAAAATTCATTTTTGAGAGCTAAGCAAAGATCCAAGACATTTCTTATTAGACTTTAACACTTTCTCTCGCTAAAGATAAGTTGATTACCCTCCTAATACGTATTTGGTTCCTACGACTTAAAATCCTCGTTAATTATAATTTGGAAAGGATTTTAGTCTTCTGAATAATGGTGGTAAAAGCCCTAGTTTAATATTAGGATCATGGGCTGTTGTGTGGTTTGATATATTGATATAATACAGAAAGGTCTTTTCACAACTGAAATCTAGACCCCAGATGAGCGTCGTTGACATCTCAGAGGTCACAAACAAGCCTACTTACTTTATCCTTACTTTACATAAGTTAATTTTAGCAGAAAATTTTAAACTTTTGATTCTTTAAACATACTTGCTAGACATTCTTAAGATTTCATAATCGTTCATCATAAACCATCTAACATTAAAGAGATAAGCAACTAAAAGAAATAATTCGTTATGTATTAATTGTATAACGGCCAAAATAGCACCAATACAAAGTCATAACCAAAACAAGAAAGAAACACTAGTGGAACATGCTCCACTAGCTAAACTCTAAAACTACGCTAGAATGTAAAACAGTAGCATCCTCGAAAGCATGAGGACCTACAAAACTCTTGATGAATGCTGACGTCCAAATAGATGCAACAACGAACCTGTAGCTCTACCGCCCACCTATACTTGAACCTAAAAGTAGATGTTTGTATGGAATTAGTGCACACTTGTACTAAGTATGGGTATATGCAAGAAAACACCAAGGACATGCATGAGAAAGAATAGTTCTTTCCTAACGACATGATTTTTGGAAGTCAAGTCAGTAGACTTGCCAAATTAAGATTGGGAAAGTTATGCCATGTGAGTAACATGCATCATTGTGATTTTCGTATTGCACACAACACATAACATCTTCATATAGCACATATCATAGCACATAACATATAACACATAACTTCTTTTATATTATTCATTCATATGCCATGAGATCTTGTTATCATGGACTTGACATTAAGACTTTCCAAAATGAGGTTTAAAGTATGATACGTCAACTAGGGAGTCTTCATTAGCAAACGCAGAGTCTGCTTTATTCACTGATACCTAATTCATTTCATTTCATTCATAGGCCAGTGTGAACACTAGCTATACCTAGGATGTAGTTTAAGACTTTCATCAGGTTTGCTCTGCAATGATCAGGAATAACCTAATGTCATTACCTGAATCTAGTTCACCTCCTGATTATCATATCCTAACACATTCGGTATCATTCATCTCTTTATATGACCATTTGAAGCTGGCCACATTTATTCATTGGGAACTTTAACTTTAACCGACATAGATCATGTGAGCATCAGGAAATACATGTCTCTCCCACACCAAAAAGAGGTGGAATCACCGACCAAAGTGACTCAATAACATGCAAGCGTATATGGGAATTTAACCCCGCTAGATCTCTATATTGGCAGTATGTGTTCAAAGATTAGGAGATGTATCGAGACCCATACCTGGAAAGCCGGACAGTCTCATCTCATGAGAGTTACGTGAACCTTCGCCCTTCCCGAAAGAAGGCATCAACACTCATAGATAGCCTATCGGTGCTCAGTATAAATTTCCATTACATTAAACTCATACATCATGGAAGATGGCTTCTTGTATTAGGACAAAATAGCTCATTAGATTATTTCTCATCTCAATATTAGTATTAAGTGTTTTAAACTCAATATTTTCATTAGAGTGTTCGTAGAGACTCGTTTCTTCATTATCTTACACTCTCATTGGTGAATATGTATTGGTAACATTTACTTAGACTCACTTTTGAGATTTCTCTCATCATATATATTTGCCTCACATCATTATTGTCACCACATTCTTCATTATTAGCACCTTTGCTTTTCATAGTTACTCACCTCTTATTAGGTGAACGTTCATTTCTTCATTTCATAGTTCATCTCATCATATGCCAATGCACTTGTCCATTTAGTGTATCTTACACTAGTACTTAACCCTCCTAAGGTTCATCATTTCATTATGTACATCTTTGTTTCACTTAATTTTTGAACGTATGTTAGACTTATGGGTCTGTACATACAAGCCATGAGGCTTCATTAATAGTTTACTAAGTGATTCTTACTTTCCTAAGATTATGCATTACAAGACTTATAGACCTTGTATATATGACAAGATCTTTATTTTTTATCTAAGTAGATGGAATTATTCTTGAATATTTCACTCATGTATGAATTATGTATCCATACGGAAGTTTGGGCAGGGGAACCCAGTTCTTTAATCACTTGGATATCATTTATATTTTTCATTGATTTTTTTTCTAATATTCATATCATTAGAACTCTAAATTAAATCTCAACATTTATATGAAATGATTAATTTTCTATTTTAATTACAATTCTAAATTAAATCTCAACATTTACATGAAAGGATTAATTTTCTATTTTAATTAGAGTTCTAAATTAAATCTCAACATTTTCATGAAAGAATTAATTTTCTATTTTAATTAAATTACAAATTAAATCTCAACATTTACATGGAAGAATAAATTTTCAATTTTAATTAGAATTCTAAATTAAATCTCAACATTTACATGAAAGATTTAATTTTCAATTTTAATTAGAATTCTTAATTAAATCCCAAAAGTCACATTAAAGAATTAATATTCTATTTTAATTAGAATTCAAAATTAAATTTCAACATTTACATGAAAGAGTTAATTTTCTATTTTAATTTTACTCTTAGTTTACCGGAGGGTTGGGGGTTCGAGCCCCCACAACCCCTTTGATTTTTAGAATTAAATTCTCTACAATAGGGAGGTTGTAGGTTCGAACCCCCACAGACCCCTTATTTTCTTTTAATTTCGCTATGGAGGGGTGTGACGTCGTGCGTTCAAACTCCCACAGCCCCTCTATCTTCATTCTTTTTTTTAAAAAAAAAAACGAGTGGCAGTGAGGTTGTGGGATTGAATCCCCAAGGCCTCACTTTATTTTTTTTTATTTTTTTAGCCTCCTCCTTCATCGCTGAGGTCGTGGGTACGATCCCCACGCCTCGAATCCCCCCCCCTTTTTTCCTCTTCTTCGTGCGTACTGGGAGGTCGTGGGTTTGAACCCCATGCCTCCCATTCATTTGTTTACTTGATTTTTCTCCTTCTCCTCCCCATAGGTTGCAAATTTGATTCCCCCAACCCCATTTTTTCCTTTCGCACGAAAAGCAGTGGTCAGGGGTTCGATTCCCCCCAACAACTTTTCTTTTCCCTTTTTTCTTTTCTCCCTCACGATAAGCAGCAGCTAAGGGGTTCAATTCCCCTTATCCCCTTTTTTTTTCATCCTTCTCAACATGTGAGGTCTTGGGTTCAATTCCCATTGACCTCACTTATTTATTTCCTTT